TCTACAAATATTTCAAATAATATAAAAGAACATGAGGAGCCGAATGCGTTGATACCCTGATAGTAAATTAAAGCCAAATAGACTAATTATTAAGTATAAAAGTGAAATTCAAATTTGAGTCATTATAATGCAAAATAGCACCTATAAAAAAGGCATCAAAAAAAGAAACTTTACTACTTTGACTCCATTACTAATTTTGAACTTTCATTCCTAAGATTTGCAGAAAATAATAAATTCTATTTTAGTAGTAGAAAGAATTTTATCATTTATAAATACTTTTGTCCATGACATTTTAATCTCAATTAGTATTTAATATTATGTATAAAATTTAAAAAAAAAATGAAATAAAATAAAGATTTGCATTCATTCCTAAGATTTGCAGAAAATAATAAATTCTGTTTTAGTAGTAGAAAGAATTTAATTATTTATAAATACTATTGTCCATGATATCGTGATCTCAATTAGTATTTAATATTAATATAAAATTTAAAAAAGAAATTAGAAAATAATTATAAAGTGTTCAGGCTAAGGTTACAACAAATGATAACAAAGCAATAAGTATAAACCAAAAAAAATGTCAGCAAGTGTATGCTTCTGGTAAAAACATGACATAGATTTTTGGCTTTAAGAAATATATGATCTTTGTTTAATAAATTGATTTAGCAGCTGCCAATACTTTCTTTGTGCATTTGTTAAAAAATTAGTTTTGTAAAAGAGCTTCCACTAAATTCCATGGCTCTGGAATTTTGTCAAAAATTTCAAATACAAATATTAAACTTCTATTTATATTTAAAAAAATATAGCATTCTTACATTCTATGATATTCTAAACAAACAAGTCACTTACCTTTGTGTTCGTAACAATAATTTCTCGCCTAGTATGATATGGACAACTTTCACTTTGTACATATTTAACTCTGATGTGATCATGCAAAATCTCATCATCTGGCCAATAACGAGGGCATTTCCTAGGACCTTCTCCCAACTAGAAAAATAAATTACAGTC